TTCTTTCTTTCTTTCTTTCTTTCTTTCTTTCTTTCTTTCTTTCTTTTTCTTTCTTTTTTTTCTTTCTTTCTTTCTTTCTTCCTTTCTTTCTGATACACACACACACACACACACACACACAGAGCACTTAACAGACAAGCATTTTGGAAGCAGCTCCTTTAAATTTCTGCAAGGCTTGACTGGATTCCCCCCTCCCTCCCCGCCCTCTGTCAATCCTTCTCTCTCCAGCACTTTAACTCACAAGGGGAAAACGATACTTGCAGCATCCATGGGGAATCCTTGGAGAAGTTTTTAAAAGACCTGCTTCCAAAATGCATTTCTTTTACATTGCAAAAGTGCTCCGAGGCTCGATTCACACCCACCCCCTCTGTCAAACTGCACTCTTTCTTACTCCTGACACTTTATCCCACAAGGGGAAAGTGATACTTGCAGTGTCCATGCCTTTCTTCCTTTTTCCCTGGGGAGAAAGAGGACGTGGGGAATGGAAAGCTAGGAGAGCAATCGCCAAGTAAGTGACCTGGTGACTGGGTTGGGGGCGTGGCCAGCCAGGGATTGCCACTGGTTCGGCAACCCATGCCAAATAACCGCTACCGGTTCGCCTGAATAGGTGAGAACCAGTCGAATAGCACCTCTGATTCTTACCGTCTAAGCTTCTGGTGTCATCTTTGAACACAGTTTGCCTTGTCCTATGTAAAATCTTGAAAACTTTCAAGACCTGTAAATACAACAGAATGTTAAAAGTTTTACATTCTTATGTTAGAAAGAAAGCACCAGTTAAATTTGAAGTAAGAATATCAGGGAAACAAAATATAGAAATTCTCCAAGAAAAAACATTTGGTCATAGGGGAATGAAACGAAAGTGATTCCTAGAAATAGCAGTTACTGTAAATGCTGATATACAAACCACCCACATTCCTCCCTCTAACATAGATACTGGTATGTGCTCCTGATATGTGAAACTGGTATGTGAAACTCAGCATAAAAGACAATAATATGATAGGTATTATAATAATACATTCCTTGCCTGATTCTTAGATAGGCAAGCCTCTAGAAATGACAGAAAAGTTCTTAAGAAGACATTTCAAGATATTCCAGATATATGTATGACCCAATAATACTTTAAAATTTAAGAATGTTAGTTTTTAGTGTTAAAAGGCCAGATTAGCCTTGACCTTATTAGTCTTCTGGAAGGGTCTGAAGATTTGGCTTTGCCATCTTGATCTAGGATCTGGTAGTGGCAGTGTAGATCCTGCCAGATGGTTATATTGTTAGCACGCTGAATGCTTGTAGGTTATATCTTTTTATGTTTTTTCATAGTTTTTACTCTTTTATATTGTATTTAAGGTGTTCTTGTTATGATTTTGGATATTTTTTGTAATGTTTTTCTGTTTTAAGTTTCAGAGCTGCCACATATTTGAGTTGGGCAACATAAATACAGTTTGAGAGAGATGATAATGTTATCTAATCTTTTGATGCTAGAACTGTGAGAGAAAGGTATTATTTGAAGATAAACACTGTGTAATTAATACCTGCATAAGTCTGGGTTTTTTTTCAGTCCCCTTTGAGGTTAAAGGGAAGAAAAAGATTACATTCTTGTTCCAGCAGCTTCTGCTGCAACTTTCTTTTAAAGTTTAGAAAGGTCTAGTGCTCAACCCTTTCTCCAACAGCTTCTCCGTGGTGAAACTGGTCAGTCATCTTTTTCTTTTTATATATATTTGATCTAAGTGCATGTATGCAGTTTGAGGTTAGCATGGGAGACTTTGCCTCTCTTCTGACTGAAGAAAACTTTTTTGAAGTTATAATGTAAGAATTGTAGATACATTTAGGCTTTGTATCTTTTAAGATAAAACACAAAACAAATCAAACTAAGGGAAATTTAATACTTAAATTAAGCCAGTAGTGTAATTGCTTAAATAAGCGGTTACACTACTGGCTTAATTAAAATAAAGAAAGAGATATCAGTACTGGTATTGTTTTTAATATAGAGAAAGAGATATCAGTACTGGTATTGTTTTTAATATAGAGAAAGAGATATCAGTACTGGTATTGTTTTTAATATAGAGAAA